CTGCTGGTGTAAAAGTACATGTCAAAAAAGTTTAAAGGCTACACCAATAAGAAATATGAAATACACCCCATCTTGCTTTTTAATATATTTAATATCTAACATCCTACAGAATGTTATGTAGTGTTGAACAGCTCACCACCACATTCACTGCTTCTCCAGGCCAGACCAGAGCTCTTCCCAAGACCAAAGACTCAAGCTCCTTCTGAGGGATTTCCAGACGTTCCCCGGTGAGCTGGGCGACACAATCGATCCAACGTGTCCTGGGTGTGCTAAGGGGCCTATGGCCAGTGAGGCGTGACCAGAATGGCTTCCTTGGCAGCCACCTAGGTGGCCTTCTTACAAGATACCTAAAGCACCACAGGGGACTCCTCCTGATGCACCTACACCACCACAGGTGACTCCTCCTGATGCACCTACACCACCACAGGTGACTCCTCCTGGTGCACCTACACCACCACAGGTGACTCCTCCTGATGCACCTACACCACCACAGGTGACTCCTCCTGGTGCACCTACACCACCACAGGTGACTCCTCCTGGTGCACCTACACCACCACCGGTGACTCCTCCTGATCTGAAGGACCAGCGGCTCTATTCCAAGGTCAATCCAAATATCGCAACTCTTCACTCCATCATGGAGAATGAGCCTGGCAACCCTGAGGAGACACTAGTGACTCTAGTCCTTCGATCATTACCCACATATCATAGCTAGAGATTGAGACAAATAGCTGAGCATAGAGACAAATCACATCAAACGACTTGACCACCAAAGATCTGTTCAGTGTCTGACAAATGGCAGCTACCAGACTGATCCAGCTATCATCTCCACAGTCACTCTTACTCTCAATGAAGAAAAAGATCCCAACTCCGTCACCTTCAAGATTCCAAGGTACTTAAGTCTTTCCAGGCTATTTAAACTGCCAAGTATGCAAACACAATTGTAGCCCATATTCTAACAGCATCTCCTACAGTATGTGCCAGGGCACAAAGTCATATGACTTCTTCAGGTCCACAAAAGCAGATGTAAGCTGTGTGATGTTATTTCTAACCCGTACAAACATTTCCTGTAGAAAAATCATTTTTCCTTTGTTCAGTTCAGAAACCACCCCAATTCATTTTCACTTGTTGTATTGAATTCTTCATCATTTATCACCAGCATTTACTTTAGTTCATGCAATTTTTTTGTACTAGGACTATATCTGTCCTGATTTGCCTAGAGATATAGGATATTTGACTTGTATGACACCATTTATAAACAAGCAATCATTGTCTTTGCTCTGAATTTCCTCTAAAACGCTATCCAGTGGTAGGGTGTTCGTGCAGGTTGCAGTACATTAGCAAATAAGCTGTAATATTAAACAAAATTGTAGGAGCATGAGAGCTATCTTTGGTGAGCAGTCTTAGCAATGTGAGCTCCTGAATGCACAGGAGGACGAGAGGATGAACCCAGTCTGAGCTAAAATAAGAGTCAGGCTCACCTGCACATAATCTCATGGGTGAGAAGAACTCGGCACATCTCCGGGTTCTTGTCCTGTCCTTCATAAATGATGGGCTACAAAGAGATATGGAAAGGATGAAGAGCATCTTAGGCTTCTGGATAGAATTTTAGCTTAAAATTTGCATAACCAAGTAAGCAGGTACCTAAAATAACATTTAAAAACACACAGCATAACATTCTTCTCATGCTATTTATTTTTACATAAAAATAGAAATAATAATAGTTGATATTTTTATTGATCCTTGTGCGGAAATTCTTTTCATCTCTCCCCCAACTTGCTTTCTGTAGATGACAGTGAGCTGCCTGCAAGGGGCAGCCACCTATAACAGCACCCAGGGGGCTGGGGGTTAACGGTCTCGCTTAAGGATCCACAGACATGCTGAGGCTGGACTCAAACCAGCAACCTTCAAACCAGAGGTACAGGGACACAATGCACCCGGAATTGATGAAGGCTTAATTTAAAAGCATATATGTGAGTTATGACTCCCATCCTGTGATTGGAAGGTCATGGGTCTAAATTATGTGACAAATTTGGGCAAGACCCATATCCCCGCTGGCTCAGTCTGAGCTGCAACCTCCAAACCTGCTGTCACCTGTGTATAGACCTCATGTAGAGCAAGATAGGATAGGCAACAAGTCAACCTTAAAGCTTGGCGACAAAGGGAAGCCTTCGGCAGATGGGGGGGGGCAGAGGGGCTAAGGGCTTTCCCCATCAGCTCATAGACATGTAATTATTTTGCTGAAGCTGGGCTTGAACTGGTGACCTTCAGATTATAGGTAGAGAGAGTTAGCCTGTTGACCCACACACCAGTTCTGTGAGGAATATAATAAATATATAATAGCCCTATGATGGATAAGCATCCCATCCAGGCAGTACCTCAATTTTGTGCCCTGCGCAAATCTAGGCTCCTGCATGACCTTAACTAGGATAATCAAAAGATGGACTTAGCTTGAATTGGCCAAAGAAAACAATAATTCCACCTAGCACAAGGCTAACCATAATGTTTTCCTTTTATTTGGGGAGAGGGGGCAATGTCATTCTTGCTCTCCTATTGCAAGCATATAGCAGGTCAACAGTGTGGGGGGGGGGGGGGTCTCAGTATGTAGGTACACAGGAACCCAAAAATATGTATATTGCTGAGCACATGTCAGGTGGTCATTGAAGAATCTCTGCTTGGGGGTAAACCAAGCAGCAGAAGCAGGCAGGAAGAGTGGAATCGATAAGCACCGCTGTGGGTGCGCGAGAGCAACTGGCCCCCACTCAGCCCATAAGTCAGTCAGACTGGGATTCGACACTAAGGCTATAGCTGTTACATTAAGCACATCGATTGGTCTCCGGAACATGCGTTTGTTTAGCAGCAGGCTCCCCAGACGATAGTTTACAGCCGCAGTCGGGGGTGGGGGTCGGGGGTGGGGGTCGGGGGTGCAAAATAAAGGGCAGCAGCACACCTGCGGTACCTGACCTAAAGGCACTAATGTTACAGAAAAATCCACAGTCTGGCTGTTTCAATGTGTGCAACAAGCTGGCAAGACCTGATGGCAAAGTTGTACGTTGATTTTGTGACACATGTAGTTGTACTCCTGGTAGCATAAGGCGGCTTGAGACAAATGTGCCCTATTCAATTATTATTATTTTACCCTGGACTTCACAATGAGGGATGGAAACCTCATCACTTGTGCGAACACTGGAATAGTCGCGTTGTGTGTCATTCGTGCCACTAGGGCTGTGTTTTTAGGCATGCTGAAGCTGACGCAAATGATGATGCAGTTTTGCGATACCTTTGTCAGCTTCCGTGAATATCCAAGCTTCGGATTAGTGTGACGCTGTATTTCATCAATGATGGATGGAAGTTCAAAAGCCGACGTTTATCGTCTTATTTTCTGATGGTCACAAGTAGGATTGGGAACCGAAAGAGGAACATCTTGCATTCATAAGTACAGGCAATGCTGCATGTCTGATAAAAGCAATGGAACTGGACTAATGGACCTGGCGCTGTAGCGTTTTACATGGGACCACTGGTTAATGTTTTATATATACAGTATATTACACATAACACAGGTCTACAAAAAAAAATTTTTTTTTCCGGGTGCCAAGTTTTTTTAATGGATTCAGGGTATGTTGAGGGCGCTGAATTCAAAAATCACATTAATTTTGCTGAATTTGTTCTAGTTTTTGAGATAATGGACATCAATGAAAATAATGCATTCCCCCAATGAGACTTGTGTGTGATAACAAATGCAATAGCTTTCGATCTGTCTTTTGACTCTTTAACAGTGTCTTAGGTAATGAAATGAATGATGAAGCGTTGAAGGAGAGTCTGAACATAAAATTAGAGTTAAGTTAACATGTGCGTGTTTGCATGTTCATTTATTGCTGTTGTTACTGTGGTGGTGAATATTTACCCAGATCAAATCTGCCAAGTCCTTCCAAAGGAAGGGCATCATGGGAACACCTATCTGGTATTTAGCCAGAAATGGTTGAAATGCTCGTGATAGGGCCATGAAAAAATGTAGTTCGGCCAGAAGAAAGGGATCCATTCGAGCTTGACAAATGCAGTCAAAAGAAGACGTCCCTGGGTTTGTCACCTATTTTGACTTCACCAAGTCAATATTTCACAATAGAGGGTCAGACTTCCAATGCTCCTTCGACAGCTGGCAAATTTTCGAGCCACAGATGGCCACAGAAAGGTGGAGGGAATCTTGAGGATGATGTTGCAGCTGTGAAGTCCTCTCTTCTGGCTGGTGCAGAGTGGAAAAGTCAATATAGTGCTTTGAGCACTTTCTCCACCATCCACACTGGGATGATTGAATGAGTTGTGAAGAGTATGTAGGCCACAACTTCCTACAATTACTAACTGTGTCCCAGCAAATTGCTCACCACAGTGTGAATGTCATCATTGGACGTATAGGAGTGATGTCGGCTAACCGTTTGCAAAGCCCATAGCACTTCTGCTTTCAGTGTGTCGGTTGAGGAGAATGTACTGAAGGCATTGCTTGTCGTGGGATCCGGAGGCACTACCAAAGCAGGTGTAGGCCTACAGTATCTGTAGAGGTTGTACTTGCAGGACTGGCAAACAACTGAATGACGTCCCTGACATGCGAGTCGATGGCTTTAGAGCCCATTGTTGCCAGTTTGATGACTTTTTTTACAAAAGGTCACGTTGCGCTTCGTAGACATTAGTCGTTTATATTGAGTGACTGGTAACGTGTCGTTTTTCTTTGTTTTTTCAGGAATGCCACCATGAGCATGAAGCTTTCCCATACAAATATAAAGCCAGCAGTCAGTGGAATGTGTGTGTGTGCACAAGCTGGGCACTGAAACAGGGTGGAGCACCTGTTACCTGTCTCTAGTTTTTTTGGCTTTAGGTTTTATATTTGGTGTTTGAGTAAGTATCTGTGATACTGATCACCTGATCAGCCTCAGCTGAACAGTATGAAGGTACAAAATTGAAGTTTTATTCATTTTGCAAAACCGCAAATGTACTGTATTGTGAAGTTTGCGTTTATATTAGTGCTAACTTGTAAGTTCTTTTTTTCCCCCTATTTAGAGTTTTATATTTTGCTTGAAATTCTTATATACCAAAATACACAGTCAGTATTTTTACTGGTCATTTTTTATTAAAGGTTTTCCACATTTCAGTGCATTTCATATGCATAATAAAAATCCTATACCACACTCTGGCAGCCACCCTAAGTGGCACTAGCTATTCAAAACCTTTGAAAATGGATATATGGTTTTTATGACAGTTCCTCATTTTATAAATAATGTAGCTATACTAAAAATTTTAAAATATATATTATTGGTTTATTTTATTGGGGTTAAATTTGTATTAAAACATTCATTCGGAGTTAAATGCACATTTGCAAAAGCATGACGTTACTGGTCTTACCTGTTTGGTCATTGAGTCTATCAAGCGCACATACAAGTCTTGCTCTGTCCTAATGCCTACAAGAAGAAAGAACACGATATAATTAGAACCGTGAAAAGTCTTGCAGAAGTTCAGCTGGCAGTTGGAGGTTAACAGACAATAATTAAAATACATTCCCATCTCTCAAGTTTGAATGATTTGGCAGGTGACAACAACTAATAATAACTATGAACTAATATATGTTTGTGCTCCGTGATGGACTGATTGGTGCTGCACCCTGGCTGGTACACTGTGCATCCTGAGAAGGTGTCTGTATTTTACACTACCTTCAACTGGATAAGTGGATGGAAGAATTGGATTTTACTTTACTATAAAAACACGTATCATCAATAACGCATTCCAGGATTATTTCATTCAGAAGCCTTCCATTATCAGCAGAGTTAAAGCAGCTGGCATAAATTTACATAGTGTTATTATTTAAAGCAAAATGGACAAATTACAGAGACTCCTGGTATGTGTTCCACCCCACAAACAAACACATTCTTGCAAACTGAGAACAACAATGTGTCATGATAAAAATGTCATGCTGATCTATTTTGTCGTCTTCCACAGACACAACTGCTTAATTAATACAGTATATGCTTAGTAACAACAGTGGGAAGAGACAACGTTTGAATCCCCTCTTGATGCAATTCTAAATCTCCAGCCTCCAGCCTTTTTCAGTGCAAAGAGATCCTATTAATTTATCCAAGCAACTCCAGTTCCAATAACTATTGTTATCCAGAGCCAGTCCAAGTCACAAAGTGACAATCAGCCCAGCAAATCTTTGATGAGATGTCATTATAGCAATGCTACACGTGTTAGAAGTAACTGTTTAAAACTGGGTATCACTTGGTATACCAGGGAATAAGAATGCATGGTTAATATTGAGATACACAAATTGGTCTAGGATGAAAGTGTGATCAACATTCAGATGAAGAATTTATTAGGGGTACATTTCTACACTTTCAATATTATAAAACACCAGTTCTGTTTGCAAGGGCTACAATCACTCAAACAATAATGATGAGCAACCAAAATATTCGTAACACTGTACGGCTATTGCAAGGGTTGTAATAGTAAAATAATACTTAAATAAATTTTTATAAAACATTGCACACTACAATAAGTAAAGCAAACGTTCACATATATTACCTTGGATGGCAGCAATTACTTTAATTAGACTAATTGGTGTCACTTTACAGTAAGGCTACCCATATGCAGTGTTTATGAATAGTTTATAAGCAGGTTATTAATTAGGTTATAACACTTTGTAAATCATTACTAGACAGTTATAAGCAAGTTATACCACAGCTTTCTTCTTATTAATGAGTTACTACCATTTATAAGTGGCAAAGGGAGCCTTATTGTAAAGTGGTAGTAGAAAGATATAGTTTATGGTTTAAAAAGAACAGGAAAATTGCATATACAGCTGCCTGCAATTTATGAGACTATCGACCGCAAATATAAAGCATGACATTGGTTACGTCATCAATCTAGTTTTTCATTAATGAGAACCATCACCAGAACCAAGTAAGTGACCTGCTCTTACCATTGTTGTAGAGAAGCTGAAGTCGATAGTGAATACCATTGTTGGTCTTCTCCCCATTATACTCCTGCAAAAGGCAAACACCCCCTCCATGAGAAACACACAGCTCCCGCCTCAACAGCCTCACGTATAAATGATCAGGTATCTGGTGAGTATTTCTCTGTCTGGACTATCATCCTTTTGTGGAGATTCTGGAAAAATGAACTCAAATTGCTCCTTTCAGAGGTTGAACCATCATTTTATAATTAAAACACAATTAAACAAAAAAAAAAAGAATGCATATTTTTTTACAATCTTGTGTCTTATTATAAACTCCAGGGCGAAAATATTGGGCCAAAATCGCACAATATTAAGCTTTGGCCCTTTTTTTGCCTAGGAATGTATTTAAAATTCATCCAATCCAATCAATAGCAAATTAATGTCGCTAGTATTTCACAAAACGCATTACTAACCTCACCGTTGCTGCATTAAATCTCATTAGCCATTACAATCACCTATTTATGCAGGTACACTGCAGTTAACCTCAGCCTCGGGCTGCTCCAGAAATTTCTCATACATTTAACAGTTATAATTTGTTAGATTGCCTAGTTTTATATCTATAAAGAGCAAGAAAAATGGACACAGATTTTGAACTAACAAACGAATGCCTGTTTGCTACAACTACTCGGTAGAGACGAGGGACTGCAAACCACTGACTACGAACAAAGAATAAACAAAAAACAAAACTGTATCAGACCACTCTTCATTCACCACCTGCACGCATATGAAAGCTCTCATTCAGGTGATGAAAAACAAAAAAACAAGTAGAATACTTCAAATATTAATTCCCAGATGAGCTTATTTTTGTTCACAAAGAAAAGTATTTCACAAAACACCTGAACCGCCGGTCTGTTTGACATGTCATTTTATGCTGTGCTTAATGTATATAGATGTCAAAATAATATAAACAACAGATGTACAAGATTAAAAGTGCAGAAAAACAGTTTATTAGGAAACCAGACATAACTGTCTGACTTTTATCCGCCTCTTTCAAAATAAAAAATGATATTTTTAAAATGCTGACGGTGCAGAATACAACCTTAATATTGCATAGGACTGTATCTACTGGAAACAATGAGCTCACAATGAAACTAAGTATTTATGCCCTAAAATCTGCCTCGTCACCACAAGGGTGAATTGTGGATATTATTATTACAAATATTACAGAAGCGATAAAGTTGATAATACTGAATATAAACTCACTTTACTACAAATTAAAGGGAAAATAGTCAATGAATGATGTACAAGAAAGACTAATTATTAAGTAACTACACATACTGTACCATCATTAAACTTATAGGAAAACGAAGGATGTTTATAGGTTAAAATAAATAGATGGACATAAGTGTATTGTATTACCTTATTTTCTTTTGTCAGATAGCTTTTGATTTTAACATATTTTATTTATATTTAGTTGTATTGATATATGTTTATTGTGTATAGTCTTGTCTGTATTGTGTGCTTACGTCACTGTTAAAGATGAATTTCCATCTGATGTAAATTTGATGGACATTAAAGGAATATTCTATTCTATTCTATAACACACAACATTTTGTCCATAATGTCATTTACACAAAGAGCTATAGGTAATTGTATGTGTGTGCTGGATGCTTGTAGTATGAAGAAACATACTAGTCATTTAAATACAGTGAAAATATTAAAACTATTGAAACTTCTCTGGCCAAGGTTCTCCACCACTGTTACCCCACACTCTCAGTTGTGGGTCCGAATCCTGCCTCCACTCTGCATGTGTGAAATTCGCATGTGTTCCCTGTGTTACACGGGAGACTCCAGGATGCTGCCACAGCCCAAAGATGTATAGTTAGGCTAATTAGTGCCTGTAAACTACCCATAAGTGTATGACTGTATGTGCCCTGTGATGGACTGGGACAGGGTCTAGGCCTCCCAAGACACTGACCAGGACAACTGGCTAGAAGATGTAGGGAGAAAAAACATCTCCAGCCTTCAGCAGGTCATATTTAAAATGCCATTCCCTTATGACACAATGGTTTCAAAATTTCAATAAATCTGTTTCCAATTCATCTAAACTAATTGATGTTTTGCTATGTTTCTAGCCAGAATTACCTAATAAAAAATAATGACTGTATGGGCATAATTTGTGAATTTGTGTGGATCCCATCCACAGTGCGCCCCTCCCTTGTGACCTCTGCTGACTTAGACAGGCATCAGAACCCCCCTGCATAACTGGCTGGAAGATGGATGAGAAGGTTATTTTATCTTTAAGTAGACACTTTATAAACCCTGCAAGCACCCTCAAAGTCCGTAACTTTACATCAGGTGATGCTGAATGTTCAGCATCATTCAGAATAAATATCACCTTCCATAATGTCATTTTTTTCAATAAAACAGCAATACTGAAAAGATTTAGAAAAATAAGCACAGATAGCTTAAGCAGGTGGAAGGCTCGTGCAGAGTTGACGTGTATGGTTGTAAATTGTGTTTGCATGAGTGCTAACTGAAATTATTAGATTAATGGTGAGTTCACTTGAAGACAATCAAATAATGTAATATTACACTATTACTTATGTATTAGTTAACCACAAACTAAGTATTAGTTACATACTGATGTTCATTCATTATTAACAAATTGACATTTTGTTTCAAGCAGTTACTATATATGTTATTACATCTGTTAATTCTGTAAACCTTTGTGACACTACTGAAGGAACAAGTACTGAATAACACAGGTGAAATACTGGTCTCATGTTTCTTCATTATTAATTAATTGTGACGCATCTTTTATCCCAAGTAGCTACTAGAATTGTTTGTAATTTGTTCTTCAGTAGTAACTGAGTTACAACTAAGTATTTGTGTCACATCAAGTAAAGTGTTACTGATTTAATATTTTTAAATGTTTATTCCTATTAATCTACATCTACAGAAGATGGCAGGGACACTCAGTCCTGCTGGAGTGTTGACAAAGGGTCTTAGACAGTCGAACACTTTAACCTGGAGCCACTCAGGCACTCCTGATGGACGCCTGGGCGATGATGTCACACAGCTTACCTTGTCCTTTTCCACAAAGTCCATGTAGGACGTTCTCTCAATCTCCACAGGCTGGCCCTGCCGGTCATACAGCGCCAAGACGAAGTGGAAGAAGTTGGACTTGCGCAGATTAGAAGGAGGCTGCTTCTCAAAATGGGCTCGGGTCAGGCCCACCCCACTGTGGGAGGTAAGGGGGGGGGGGGGCATACAGTTAGACAATTGTTTGCTCTTTTGCTTTTTCCGTTTCTTTTTCATGCTTGCACAATAAGCACATGGCCTGCAAACATTTTTTCCCCAATTCCAGTTACTGGCATCTGTTTCCACTTAGCAAACCCATCAGTCACTTCCAAAATCCCTGCATGTGGGGGCTGCTACACGTGCACTTTCTTGTTTTGCAATACGAAGCCTGCTCAGCATAGGGGGCACCTAAGAAAAGCGACGCAGGCCGTGAGCTTCTCCACTCCCCACTGTCCAGTGCACAGCTTCAGTCAGATTCACTTAATTAATTCAGATTTGACTTTTTCTTCACTTGATATTATCATGAATCCCTTTTTTAAATTAAAATTTGCATATATATTTTTAACACATTGCTGAATCCTGTTGGATAACAGGCTATTAACAGTATAATAAAAATAAATAAATGAACAGACAAGTGTCATTCATTGGTCACTGAGTCTGCAGGCATCCCCAGGGAGAACATGGGAACACCTTGTATAGGATGCAGGACATTGCAGAGCACACACACTCAGATAACCCCCCCCCCCAATATTCGGATGTGTTCTCAATGTTCCCCCAGTATATATTACAACTACAGCCTTGCCCCCCCCCCCAACCCCAGTGTTGACCCCATGGCTACGGCCTTGGTTGCAAGGTGTGTTTATTACTAAGAATTTACTCATCTCAGTAAACACAGTTGATGGTAGGGTTTTATATCTGCAATGAGATTTCTATTTAACGGTATATTCTATGTATGTAAGCACACGTTGGTACAATAATTAAGACAGGAGTGATAAAATCCAACATGATTGTATAAACTATGCCCTTATTTTGCTTAATTGTGTTGTGAACCCAGAAAAAGTATGCATATGGCAACATAGGCTGCCCCCCCCCAGTTCAAACATGCCAATAAGACATACTCTAACCTAAGTTTTGATAAAGTAGTTTAAAAGTTATATGCCACAAAACTAAAATGGCTACACTTTGGGACACAAATAATGTAGTAGTACACACTTACTTAATGCATGAATTAACCAGTAACTAAGTGTTAGTTATGTACTGATCCCATGCTTGTTCATCATTAATCAATCATGACAGTTCATGTATCCCATTCAGGAATTATGTTAGTTAACAGTTGACTAATTAATTAACTAATATAGTTCCTGCATGGAATACACAAACCATCATAACTAATTAATGATGAACTAACAGGCAGTGCAGTGTTTATATTAAAAAGGAATTAAAATAAGTATCTTTCATCGCACTGCGGCTCACACCTCCAGGGTGGGGGGCTTCATACCCACGTCTGTTTGCGTGTGGATTCTGCATGTTTTCCCCACTGCTACCCAGATTCCATCCAGACACTGCAATTTAAGTGAACTTGCTTCTCTTAGTTGTCCATAGCAAGTGATTGTGTGTGAGTGCGCTATGCCAGAGGCTGACATATAGATCACAGTATTGTCCTGTCCTGTGATCCTTGAAATGAACTGTCTGCAACCTTCTGTTGCATTGGAGGAATGGATAGATCAGCTTCTGGTGACAATAATACTACTGACACTTGTGATCTTGTGTTTGCTGGAAAAAAATCTGATACAGGCAGAATCACCAATAAGTAACTAGTGCAGATCAGAGCTGCTGTCATTTCAAACTTACCAGCGTATGCTGACCAAAACTAATAATACTTACAGCAATTGAACATGGAATCCGCCTTGTGATTTTATCTAACACACGATTTTACTCATTAATAGAACTGGATACATTACTCAAGCAATTTAAATATCTTGCCCAAGGATAAACAGCAGTACTTCTCTGGGGAACTGAACAGGCAACCAGTGGTACAGGGCTACCATTAGACAATTTAGTGTTGTCAAGAAGATTAATCACTAGCCCTGAATTTGCCTCAGTGAATAAAGCCCAGCTGGCCCTAATGGGACTGATTAACCTGCCAGAGGTAAACATGGCCAGCTGCATGCTGGAAGACTTAACTTGAGAATGCAAACTGAACAGGCTAACTTGTATTTTAGGGGCATGTGCACAGGTTACGGTTTTACTTGATCCTATTGAAGTGGTTTATTCTTCAGTTTCCTAGAGGTTTTTAGTTTCAGGTTTGTCTGAGGCATGTTCCATCCCTGTGACCACTTTGACAGCTTGACTGAATGTTTACCTGAACCATAAATCTTCAAAGAAAATGACAATATATATTGTGACTTAAAATCCATCCGTTTTCCACTGTTACTTATCCAGTGCGGGCTTACAGTGAGCCTGGGGACTATCCCAGAATGTGCTGGACAGGGCGCTGGAAACACCATTTTTGGGACATCCAATCATTCTTAGTCGCATACTCACATACTATGGGCAATTTAAAAACTACAAATTCACCGAGCCGTGTGCTGTTTCCCTGCAGGAAGTACCTTACACAAATGCGGGGAGGACGTGCAAGATCTTAGCAAAGTCTCGGGTGGGACTCAAACTCTGCAGGTGAAAAACAACTGTACTAGTCACTGATCCACCACACCACCTTGTGGCTCAAAATGACCAGACAAAAATGTTAGTAGATGCTCTATTTCAATGTTATGTGAGATTTAAACAAGACTTTGTTGATTTTAGGTATGAGACAACAACACCTTTGCAGATTAATACATCCAGCAGCTTTTCTGTGAAAGGCACTTTCAGAAAAACGAATTTGTACCGTTGCTTGTCACTGAGGCTGATCCCTTATAATTGTACCTTTTAAGGTACAGAAATGGACTCTGAGGAACATCCCAAAGGTACAAATAGCATTAATGTCCCATCAATGGTACAGAAATGTTCCTCAGAGTCCATTTCGTTTTTTCAGAGAGTGTGGTGAATGATTAACATTGGACAAAAATGGCAATATGCAATTTATGTGTTTGGTACCACACAACAGTGGCAGCACCAGAAATCTGATACAGTGTATGCCATCCATCCATCTGTCCGTCCGTCCATCCATCCATCTATCCATCCATCCATCAGTCCATCCCTGAATGCTGATCCTGGTCAGGGTCCTGTGACTACAGTCTACTTATGCCATGAAATCATCCATAATTCTTACAAATTTTTTATTAAAAAAGGCTACCTGCACCCCCTTGTAAAAGTGGAGTGCTGACGTTTCAGGGACTCCCCATGCCTGCATTCCCACCTGCCTCTCCCTCCTACTTACGCTACCATAACCTTACATACTGCACTCACCTAACTGTTTGCACTGCCTCTAGTCTCACCTACTTTGGCTAATTGCACATTTTATCTCCCCTATCCCTCCTGGGTCATGCTGCCTGGAGACCCCAAATTATCAAGATATTCTACCTACCCTGCTGCCAGCGACATCTCCACTACCTGAGACGTCTTTCCGACCTGCTCGCCCTTCTGCCTGTGACATCTCTCCTTCATGCCCTGCTGCTGTACCACTGTTCGTCCTGCCATCAGAAGCAGCACCAGCACCTGCCTGCCATCACCTGCCTGCCCCCCCCCCTCAAATGTTATAACTGGGACAGTGTGAATTGGGACTCCAAGGTTTCTCCCTTCTAGGGAGTTTTTCCTTGCCACTGTCACCTCTGGCTTCCTCACTAGGGGCTTTGGGCAGGGATAAAGTAAAGCACTTTGAGACAATGTAATGTTGTGAAAATGCGCTATACAAATAAAATTGAACTTAACTGAATTGAACTAAAGTAGTTATGTACACATAAATTATTTGGACAAAAGTACTGAGACCTTCTGAAGAGCTCAACATTCTGCCAGCTGTAAAGTTTGCTGGAGGAGGGATAATGGTATGTGGCTGTTTTTCTGGGGTTGGGCTTGGTTCTTTAGCTCCAGTGAAGGGAACTCTTAATGCTTCAACATACCAAGACATTTTGGACAATTCTTCCAACTGCTTCCAAGTTGGTGGGAACAGTTTGGATAAGACCCTTTTCTGTTCTAGCATGACTCTGCCCCAATGCACAAAGTAAGATCCATAAAGACGTGATTGGGTGAGTTTGGTGTGGAAGAACTCGAATGGCCTGCAGTCATGACCTCAACCCCATCGAACACCATTAGGATGAACTAGAATGGAGATTGTGAGCCAGGCCTTCACGTCAAATAGCAGTGCCTGACCTTACAAATGCTCTTCTGGATGAATGGGCAACAGTTCCCACAGACACACTCTAAAATCTTGTGGAAAGCCTTCCCAGAAGAGTGGCAGCTGTTATAGCTGCAAAGGAGGGGGGCACTCCATATTGATGGCTATGGATTCAGAATGGGATGTCATAGAAGTTCCTGTAGGTGTAATGGCCAGGTGTCCAAATACTTTTGTCCATATAGCATATATCTGCCATTATTTTTGCATGGGAGATTCTAGAATTGCTGTGTATATATGTGTATGTGTGGATTAGTTTTATATTACATTGTGGGGACCAAATGTCCCCCACAATGTAATTAACACCTGTTTTTTTACATTGTGGGGACCATTTTCAGGTCCCCACAAAGATCTGTGAATGCAATCAAAAAACTAAAAATGTCAAAAGACTTGTATTTGGTTTGGTTTGGTGTGTGTGTGTGTGTGTGTGTGTGTGTGTGTGTTTATATATATATATAGACAAATAAAAATACAACTAAAAATAAACACAATATAAAATATACATAAAAGTACTATTGCTACTCCTTAACATGGTCATTGCTTGATATTTAACCCAATATCCCCATTCTAAAAAACAGCACCCAACTCAAATCCTGTTCCAGAAGATCCTTTTTTGTCATTTACTTCTAAGGTAACTGTCCCATTATGCTTTCATTGTAATATCTTTTTGTGATTCTTTTAGCCCAAAACAAAATAAGTGAACCTGCACTTTTGAAGTAAAATTTTATATTATAATAACAAAAGAAAAAAACTGAAATTATGTGGTTTGTGAAGTAATCACAAACATCAGTAAATAAAAATAATTGTACATCTGACCTAAACCGTTTGTCAAGTTTGGAACCCTGATAAGTGAATGCTGTTACACCCAGTTTATTCGCGTAATTAAAATCAAGATATTTGCACAGTCTGTGTCTCATATGTCTGAAAAACAAAAGAAAATACGTATTTTGTTGCATACACAAATACAGTATTATAAATACTACATAAATACTTCAGATGTACAACTAAATAGTCTCTTGTCACATAACGGTTAAGTATGTAAGAGTATGTTAATGAGATCTCTTCAGGAGATTTATGCAGGCCTCCTCATGAATCCTTAGTCTTATCTGGAGTGTGTCTTGTTGAGAAACAAAAGAAACTAAAACATCCATCACCATGCCATCATATCACTGAAAAATATGACAATTAAAAAACCGGATATAATGATATGAAGTTTTTAGACTAATCAGTCTCTTAAAAATCATCTCTGCCATAATCTTGCAAACTGAAAATCTCAGACAGCTGATTTCATAATAAACGATACATTAAATGAAATACATTATTGTGCTGAGACAGTTCGGTCCCATTCACAGAAGAGTCTGACATACTGTAGCAGGTAGCGTGTTGATTATTAATGAACTACAAAACCTGAAAAGACTGTGCTGTAATATCCTTGGGCAACACACTTAACTTGAACTGCTATATTAAAATATCGAATTGTATATGATGCACTTATAAATGATTAATTTATAAGTATATTCACAATATAATGTGTTACAAAAATCTACAGTTTCCAATTAACTCTATCAGGCTAGTTATTGTCGCTGTTGTTAATGTATTTACTGGAGGCCGATGTATGTATGTAATTATGCTGCAGATGGTTAGCTGTATGACTCACAAGTTGACCTAGAACTGGGGTGGGCAATCTTATCCGCAAAGGGCCGGTGTGTGTGCGGGTTTTTGCTGCAGCTCCGTAATTAGATTACTAATTAGAGGACTGATTGGCTGAAGAGTCCTCGCACCTGGGTTTGAACCAAAGGTTATCGCAAAAATCTGCATGCACACCGGCCCTTTGCGGATAAGACTGCCGCCCCTGACCTAGAAAATGCAGGAGCTAAATGTCATCTTAGAGTCTCATCAGCACAAAATAAAATAATGGAAAAAATCCAACCCTTTGAATTGGACTTTCATAATTCTGTATTTGCAAAAAAACTGATTATACTATTTGTGCATCTCCTCTAACTCTAAATAAATATGACTATTGATAACAACAGAAGATCAACAGCAGCTGAAACTGGTCCTTTATAGGGCAGCTTGCTCATGAGTTCTATCAGTTTAATGGGGTATCCAACTGTTCAGAGAAGGATAATCATGAAGTCAGAACATGATTCTATGTAGCCCATGTATGAATGTGTGTATGCCTTACATAAGATAAGATAAGATAAGATCAGATAAGATAAGATAAGATAAGATAAGATAGCTTTTATTAGTCCCACAGGTGGGAAATTTGCATTTTACAGCAGCAAAGTGGACGGTGCAACAGAAATAAGCAGAATGCAGAAAAGTCCTTAAGGAATAGCAGTAATGTTAAGCAATAGAAAACAAAATACAATATATATAAAACGATAATCAAAAACTGTGCAATATGCTGAAAAATAAAGTATAAATGTAATGTAGATTATATTGATTAATTAATAAATAAATATATGTATTTTATGTGTATATACCCATGTGGACATATATATTATTCAAAAACATGACAAAAAGAGGAACACCTACTTATGCCCTTAAGTTTAATTTAAAAAAAGCACTTCCATTTGAAAAGATCGTTGCAAACTGTAGCTAAAGGTTCCTGGGTACTGCATAATTGGAGGAAGAGAAATAAATTCAAGACAATTTATGCAGCTCCATAATATTCAGTACAAATGTACACTGCAGAAATGACAATTAAATTAGCCAAGTATTAACAGATTTACAGCAAAGCTCCAATCAATATTTCAAAATAATAATAATAATAATAATAATATTTACACTAGAGATATGCCATGAACCCTTATAGAGTGGTACCTCGGTATACGTCCTGAATCTGTTCAAGATCCTTGGACTTATAACAAACAGGACGTATACCTAGTTGGATTTATTCCAAAGGGGAATAATAGTACCACTGTATTACATTCTGTAAAAAAATCCTCTTCACCCTATTGTTTATTGCTAGTTAACTTGGATTATTGATAGTTTACTTCAGCATGGCTAAGCACAGTCATCCACAGTGGAAGCCGTGCAGGTTTACATGATATATCTAAATGAACACTTCACTGGCAGCTAAAGGACTGAGAGAGCTGTCTTAAGGCCCAGAAATCACAGCTTTCGCAAGCAAAGTCTCACCACTTCTGCTAAATTAATTATCAAATGGCCACTGTCTGACAGGCAGGGTCAATTACTTTTCCTGTTCTACTAGAGATTTTATTTTTCATTCAAGACACTGTTTGAGACACATTGGTTTGTCAGCTTATACATCTCATTTGATTCCCATGCAAGTAATGCTGGCATAGGGAAGGTCTTTGACTCCTACAATTACCCATCCGTCCATCCTCTAATTGCTTATCATGTTCAGGGTTGTGATTCACGACTCGTGAGACCCAATATTGATTTATATTATGTAGTATCATAAAACTACACTTTCCAAGGGATTAACGTATCAGGGATAAGCCGCAGAATCATTTAAAGACCAAATTTTTTAAACTCGGTACACCCTCAGCATCCACTGCTTGATGCTAAGAAGATTTAAATCGTATAACCTCTCCTTACTTCATTGCTAATTCACTTTACTTTCTCAAACACAGGGCCTGTACGTCATTCATCCAAAGTGCCATGCACTTACTGACGTTTAGGTGTCCACTTCAAGGTTAGAATAAAAAGTCTGATCTGGAACCAGCACAATTAATATTTTAAGTATCATCCTTCTCACTGTGCAATCAATTATAAGCGATTCAGGCAAAGATATATATCTACTTACATACATATATATTTTGAAAAAAAATGTCTGAAATAGATGGGTGCTTCTAAAACATTGTTTTCACATTTGTATCCATCATCACAATACCCCTTAATATAAAAATAATGATTGTAATCCATGACTAAAATGATTGGAGGTACTCCAATTAGGTATCTGAATTAAGTTCCCAAAGCCGCTGTAGAGTGCTTAAATGCTATAGCTTAAGTGTACAGCCATGTTGATCCTCTGTTATTATCAATAATCATATTTATTTTAGAGTTAGGGGAGACACACAAATAGTGTTTTATACTTTCCACAAGTACTGAATGCGATCAGTCATGCTTCTATGACCGTCTATAACATGCTACATATGAAATTGTTCGGGTTATTTTATGTTAAAACTTACAAAAGCAGAAAATGAATGTAAATAGTCGGCACAAACCGCCGACAATCAAATTCCCCACAATCAATCCCGCCTAAGCTCAGTGAGCTCATCTTTGCATCCAACTATCATTTACTGTGATTGCGCGAAGTTTTGAGAAATATTAATTGAGATTGCACTTTCCGATTTTTTATTTTTATTTTTTTAACTAAATTTCTGTTAATTTTACATGACATGATAAAGCAAGGAAGAGCAAAACGTCGCTGATAACTAAGCAGACGTCCATACGCAGGAATTTTATATTGCCCGATTGTAATAACCGTAACGCTGGCCATTGATTTAAAATGCGTTAGTCTGACGAAGCACATCGTGTAAAATATGGGTACATTTTTTGCGCCTAAGTTTTGATGAAGCAAAAAGAAGGCAGGGAAGTCGAAGTTACAGATATTAAGAAATTATGCGCTTTACGAAATTCTTTGATTACTGAACATTGATGAATACAAATTTCTGTTTATTCCTACTTTTACTAGTAGCAAATATTAATACGGCTATTTACTTTTTATTATCCTTAAAATCCATAAAAGGTAAAAAAAAAAAAACATAAAGTTAATTTTTAAATTGTCATTATTATCGTTGTTTTTATTTTATGTAGGCTACGTATTTTATTTATCGCTGACAGGATAAATACAGCAGAAACCTAAGTTATTTATTGTGTATCTTCGCTCTAAGTTAAAATCGAACTCGCCTACAGATTAAGGTAGGGCTATTCCAATAAACAAATCCATCCCTGCGTGACATATATTAATGGAATTAACTTTGCAGAATATAATATATTCATGTCAGAAACTTTCAGTCTGGCATCAAATGCACGTTTTGCGTCTGTGGACAGTTAACGCAATAAAAGTAAACCCAGGAAAATTAATTGAACTACATCCCTACGGCAAACATGACGTTTAGGCTTGAAATTTGTGCGACGAATGAACATAAATATTTCCCATCGAAACTGGGCAATGTGTTAACCACTATACACGGTGATACAGGTATAAAATCACTTCATTTTGGATCGTAGGTGCCAGGTCATTGGCCTGCACGCTGTTGGCGTGGGCAGCTTCTTTTTACCTCTGAGCTGCAGCGCTCGCATCCAGAATCCCGGCGCTTTGCATCCAGGAGCGAACTGGTGTCATGCCACTCGTGAGCGGCTCCTCCTTCATGGTTAGCGCTCCCCGCGGGAGACCATCTTGAATGGAAAACATCAAAATGCCCTTAAAACTTTATCCTTAAAACAAAAAATAAAAAGTCAGTTAGATAGTCCTAATTTCCACGAATTAGAAGACAATCTTCCAGAGTTCCAGCAAGAGAAGAAAACAGAGTCTTTATCCAAAGATAGTTGCGGTATCTCCGTTTTTTTAGGTGAGAACCACAGACGAAGTTCAAGGCGCGCAGGACTCAAGTTTTTAAAAGGGTCACGAAAAAGCGATAGTTGAAAATCCCTGGATCATCTCAAAGGAGGACAATCAGCCGGGATCTTGAATGTATTTTCTATTAACGAAGCATGGAAGAACTTGCACGAAAGACAAAGAACATTTGCGCATTGGATTGTGAAATGGAAAGTGGCATAAAACACGGCAGAGCTTTAAAACGGAGTAAAATGAAATGATTAGCAAACAGGAGGCAGGGATGGACCAGGGAAAGCTTGTTTTCCCTGAGGAAAAGAGGGATTGGGTAGCAAGAAATTTCATTCCCTCCTCCCCGTCTCTTAATGTTTCCTCTGTCCCAGCGGAGAGGACCTTCACTCGGATCCGAAGGCTCCGGGTTCTCTTGGGGAAACACATGTGGTTTTAACAAAGGCGGAGAACCTTAGACGGGGATTAACAAAAAACGGTAATCGGCGCTTCTCGAGTTTTATTGTCATAAAACGCTGCTCCAAATTAAAGTGCGTTTTATTTTGAGTATTGCGACATATATAAATATAGATTGACATATATGTCTATGTGAACGTTTGCTCTGTCGTAAGAAACAGCTATGTATGTATGTGTATGTATGAATGCATGCATGCAATTATATGTATATTTATGTTATATTATATTTAAGTGTACACTGGTCTCGCACCTGCAAAGTTGTGGGTATGATTCCCCAGCTCTGCATGCAGGAAGTTGGCATATTCCCTTCGTGTTTGCGCAGGTTTCCTCTGGAGTTCAAAAACATGTGTCTGCTTCAGTCGGTGTTTCTAAATTATCAATACAGGTTGGTTTCGTGTTTGTTCGTGTGTGTACGTGTGTCCTGCGATGCACTGACATCAAATCCATGCCACCCGCCCTTTTCACACTCATGTAATGTAAATATCTCTCTTGTCTCTGTGATTTGGGTAATCTCATTTGTCGTATCAGCGGCGTGAGACGTACTGGCATCTTTTGCCTTGAGTCTCAAAGACCTTAAGTCTGTATTAACTATCGCAGTAATTTGTATCTGTTCTTTTTTCCTGTAAACTTTACGCTCGATTGATCCATAAAGGTAGAACCTAAACAGCACCGTACAGAAGCTCTTTCGGAAGCAGGTGCTCGATCATTCGCACATAGGATAAAGGGGCACTCTGCAGGAGTGATCGTGGCAGTGCTACTAGCAATAAGCATGGTTGGAATTACAAGGGGGGGCCAACCGGGGCTCGGCTCTCCTGAAATGGACACGAGCTCGCCGGAAATCCTCCCCTGCCACCTTTAGGGGGAGCTCTAAAAAACTGTCCACCGTGGTGTTATAGTTTATATTTTATTTTCCGTGCATTAAGGTTCCCTATAATAAAAAATAATAATATATGTCGCTCATTTATTCAACATTTTCTCCACTAATCAACAATAATGTTATCTGTGTCCCTCTGCTTTGTTTTTTTGTTTGCTCCGATTGGCCTATTTAACTTATTGCGTGGTTCTTATGTTGCTGTTATAGTGCACATACGAAATGTTACTGACGGTATTAACTGCCCGCAGTAGTAATAGCAGATTCTTTTTCACAGTAATCCTGTTAATGACTGCGCTGCCGTGACCTTACATGTGTTGCTTGGTGCGTGTTACTTAGGGTTCCCCGTAGCTATTACATAGGCCTACAGTGGATGTGGTGTTGTGTGGTATAATCTACATGATGTTTTCAATAAAATGAATCAAATACACAAAATGTAGGGCACGGAGAGACCCTTGACCAAAGAAACATTTTTCTTAGATTACATTAGATAAACTTTATTCATCCCAGGAGGAAGTTCTTCAGTACAGAGCAGCATGTTGCACAGATTAACATACATGTTGTGCAAACCCACATGGTGCAAAGATGGTACACATAGGGCAAGCAAGTGAATTTAGTGCTTGCTGAGCAGTTGCACCACCTGCTGGTCAGACTAGGTAATCAACCTGAAGCTAGGCAGGTTTGGGCCTGGCCAGTACTTGGTTGGGAGACCAATGAGGAATGCTGGGTTACTGCTGGACGAGGTGCTGGTGTGGCCAACAGGTCCATCCTGTTTTCAGTCCTGCCGTCGCATCATCCAGGTGGGGGCTACACAGTGGTGGTGGTTGACGTGGCTCCCCATTGGTTCTGTAAAGCGCTTTGGGTGTCTTGAAAAGCGCTATATAAAGGTAACATTCATTTGTTCATTAATTAAAACAAACTGAAGATACACAGTATGCAGATGCAATCCTGAAAAACAAAATAGCATTGAATATTAATGAAATAAAGAAAATAATAAATTAGTGTACAGTATGTGCGTAACTGAAAACCAGATGACAGCAAGCAAGGTGTGTGGCGGAACCTGAAGAGACTGAGTCTGCAGAACCTCCTTGGGAACAGTCAAGTATCAAAAATGTTTCTGCGTTCATTTCTAAAGCATGTGGTAAATGTGCTGCCCACTTGAATGAGGAATTTGGGTTTTATGGGCGTTGGCAACCAGCACAGAACTTGACGCTTGTGCCAAGGTTTCAGGGCACCATCAGTACGTTACACTGAAGTTTTATGACTTCAGCACCTCAGATCATTTCGAGGGAACTTCTGCATCATTCAACAAACATGCTTGGGGTCACACTGTCCCCCACATCTGTACACAATTACTCATGTCATCCAAGCCCATTTTCACTGCCCACATTTAATTTCTCCTGGAATTGGCTGTTCTCTTAGTTATGTCCCAATTTTGCATATGGAGAACCCACAAGGAACCTATGTAGGAGCTTGCCTCTCTCACACTGCTCCTTGAAGCTTGCTTACAGCTACTCCTATCAGGCTCACACATTATTTCCAGATACAGCTTTTTGGACATTATATGTGTATAATTTCAAATTGAACTTCATATTCATTTAGCATGCTAAGCGTGCTTTATTGCTTAACGTGTATTATATCATGTATCACAATTAATAATCACATCTTGCTCTTTTGATACGTACAGAAATTTGTTAATGTATTATTCATGTGATGGAATTTATTCTGAATCCCAGATGTTAATGTTTTAGCTTAAATTAATATTGTATACAATTCATAGTCAAACTTGTATTCAAACATGATTAAATCTGTGTTGAAGCTGACATACAACTTGAAGCTGAGTGTGTGCCCTAATTTCATAATGCAAAAATGACAACGACTTTAAAATATATATCCAAAAAAGGCTTTATTAAAACCTATATTGCACTTGTGAAGACAGTGGGTTAAATTATAGACACACTTAATTTACAACCATATATTTCATTTCAATAATAGGAAATGTAGAGGTAGTACCACTGTCCCATCACCCTTTTAGGATTTGACTGTTTGGTAACACTTTCTATAAATGCCATGTCTATAAGAATCTATGAACACATTCATAACACATTATAATTAATTCTTAAAGCATAAATATTTCTATAAATATTTACAAAACGACACATCATAGCCATATTTATTATGCACTATGAATGATTTATGAAGCTCTCGTCTATAATGTACTATAGATACCTTCATAATGCAGTACAAAGCATCCTTAATGATTATACTGACCATTTTAATTCATTATGAAGGTATCTATAGTGAATTATAGATGAGAGCTTTATTGGTGCTTATGAAGTATTATAATCAATACTATAATGCCTAATGACTGTCAAAAGAAGATGCTGTAATGCTTTATTAATTCTTATACCGACCATTATAATGCATTATGAGGGTGTCTATTATGCATTATTGATTTAGTATAGGGTTACAGAGGGTTCAAATCCTGTCCCTTCTCTGTGGTTATGGAGCTGCATTTGCAATTGTTTTGCAATCCAAATGCATTCAAATAGGTAAACTAGCATCTCTAAATAGTCCATAGTGTGTCCCTGTGTGGGTCTGGCACCTCTTCCGGGGTATCCACTGCGCTTCCTGAGGGTAACTGCAGTTCTGTATTGGCTCAGTGTTAACAACTTTAAAAAAGTAATTTAAGTGTTTGTCGCCCTCTTGTGTTTATACTTATCAACAACTGTCAAATACTATACAGACGCTCCTCTACTCATGAATGAGATACGTTCCGAACGGCCGTTCGTAACTTGAAATGTTCGTAAGTCGTTATTCAACATCAGGGTATATGCAAATACAAAGAACTAGGATGCTGGGAGTCCGCACGATACGCTGCTGGTCGGTGGGAGTGGCGCCCAGAAGTCATACTAGGCAAAATTGGCACGCAGAAAAAAAAATTGATGTTGCGGACAGGAAACGGGAGCCCAATGAACACAATTTGGACTTACAGTCCTCTTCGTTTGTATGTCTGAAAGTTAATAAGTTGAAAGTTCGTAAGTAGAGCTGCGTCTGTATATATGTGAGGGATACACTGGTAAGTATGATTGTTACATACAGTATAAATGACCAACTGAGTACAAAATACCAATCGTTTATGGCAGATGTAATGTAAGAGACCCTTTTTCTGCCTAATGTTTGAAATCATCCGTAACACCCGGAGATTTCAGTCTCCTACACCGATCCTGTTCTTAGTGCTCTTCGTTCATGAACTGGTTTGCGGTCCCCCAGCCTATACCATAAGTGATAATAAGCCCCTTAATATGTATTGACATTCTATACTTATAATATCATAATCCATTGCAGGTATAATAGACATGATTGATATAACTGGATGTTTGAAATTATGTAATTAACCCATACTAAATTAAACAAACAAATCAATAAACACATAAACAAACAAATAAATATGTGCGTACACATACATAAATACATACAGACATACATACATAAATGCTATATAAGTGTTAGAGTGCCACCTACAGGATATTTAGTGGAATGTTTTCTGTGTATGGTGTGGATTTCCTCCGGCAGGCAAAGACAGGTACAAACGATAGATAGATAGATAGATAGATAGATAGATAGATAGATAGATAGATAGATAGATAGATACTGTAGATAGATAGATAGATAGATAGATAGAATATTAAGACAGTATACTGTACACAAAAGTGGAATATTGCACATGTTTGTTAGGCTATTGCACTGAAAGAATTATTTGACTACCTAAGAGGAAGACACAGAATGAAAGTGAGGTTGTAGTGCTCTGATGTGTCGGATTGCCTCTTTGGAGTGCTAACTGTCCAGGTAATGTCCATGGGGGAAGTGGGGGGGCTGTATTTCTTACTCATGTTAATGTCCTTAGCCATCAGTCTGACTGTGGCTGGGAAAAAGCTGTAGAATCGTGCTGTAGGTGGTGATGCTCTCTGGTCTGTGGTGTCTTAGGTTGTATCCTAAGTTCTTCCTCCTGAACAGGCAGAATGCTGGGTGATGTTGATCACTGAGTATACCCTGAGTATACCCTGAGTATGACCTGGGCTTCCCTCCTACAGCACTGTGTATATAATGTGTCCAAAGAGGGGAGGTCGGAGCCTATGATCCTCTCTGCAGTTTTTACAACTTAGTAGTTAGTCTCTCCAAATCCAAAAAAAAAAAAATGGGCCACAGTCTTCACACTGGAGTCTTTGCTGTGCTCTTTTCTAAGCTGGGAGGGGGATCTACCTACCAGTATAAGGCAGTATATGGCACAAGGTAGTCAAATTGAAATGACATATAGCTATAACCGTATGCTTATGAAAAAACATTGCTGACTAGGGATTGTTTACCGAAATTTT